GTTTTCCTATACAGCTCAAAAGGCTGATAGGTCGAAATGAAGATGGGTCTGAGGGATCCTTTCCTGGTTTCGGAATCATTGTCACGATTGCCGATTTCCAGGAAGGTGGGACATGGGAGAGATCTCGGCTGGCATTGTACAGATCGCATAGTCGGTCAATTAGTTTGGCCGAGCCGTGCTTCAGGGACGAGAAAAAAACTTTATCGATCCCTGGGGCTTTGTTAGCTATAAATTGAAGAGTGTTGCAGATCTCTTCTGGGTCTATAGGACGCCAGATGTTGTCGGTGTCTGGATGGGAGCGGACGTTGTCGGGAGAAAAGGCAATGATCTCATCCTGTAGATAGGCCTTGGGAGAGAATTGACTGAAGGCGGGAAGGTGTAGTCATGGCAGAAGCTAGTGATTCGGCTGAACTTTCTCTCGTATGAAGTTCTCATAGGGAATATGAACTTGTTTATGACGTGGGCTCCATGATTTCGTCTCGAATATGGGGATAGCAAATTAGGAAGTGTTCAAGTTCATCGATTCCTAAAATGGGACAAGGCGAGACATGCCGGAAGGTACAAAACACACACGTAAGGGATGATTCCATGGATAGAGAAAAGCACAGTTTTGTGCAATGTGCGAAATGCGAGAACCATATCTCCTTCTAGTGGCATGGAGGAGAACGTAAACATTTCCCAAAAACCTGCCTTAGTGCAACTTAAGCAAATCGGATCATCGGATCGGTCCGATATTGGATCGACGATGGAAAGACAATATTGGGAAGTCAATATTTAGCCGATATTTGCAATACTGTCCATGGTACAGACAAGGTGCCCCATGCTGGTCGAACATTGAGTCAATATCTGGTTACTCAAAGTTCAGCCAGTGTTGAACTTCAATGTTCATGAGAGTATCGCGATGAGCGACATTTAAATAGAAAAGTAATGTTAGATGCAATGCCAAAACAACTCTGGGCAGGTTAAAAATTAACGTTCATACAACGCTGATTAAAAGTCCGTTTGTTACCTGGGTCCTTCCTCTTCCCCTCAACGCAATGACGGATACAGGGATGGGGAGGAGGAGGGGGGGGGAAATTACAGAAGCGCCTTTCTATGAGTAATTTCCGTATCCCCCACTGCTCTTACAGATGTGCTGTCCTTCACGCAAGTGTGATCATTCGATGGAAATGGAAGATAATCAACTATCGATTATCGGTCAAGTCGACTATGGAGGAAGAATCAATTCATCCTCTCATGCAGGTTCATCAGGAAGTAGAAGTCTTGTTTACTTCATTAATTCCTGTCCAGTGCAGGAGTCGCTCTTCGTGTCAGATCATAAACAATGGTACCGTCTGCTGCTGATTGCATGAGGATATGTGACAAAAGGGAAGATGCTGAGTACAAGGGAACTTTCACTGTTTTGGCGGTTTAGATGTATGCGTCACACATCTTTGCCTTCAATCAAAAGGCAACTTACTTCCTTCAGTTACGTTAGGGAATAGTAACGAATTAGCGCCTCTCGTCATGGAATTATATGAGGGGTGATCGGAAAAAAAAAACTTTAGAACCAGGGTCCAAAGTGTTCGAATTTATTTTACAACCAAACGATACAGGTGCTGCATAGAGTACTCAAGGGGGTCTACTTTTCCACATTATCCTATTGGACGTTGAGGCATTTGTCCCACCCGAGGTATACGATTTTCAATGGCGGCAGCATATAATTCCATGTCTTATGCAGACGGTCATTTTTGCACCTCTTTCACCTCCTCAGCAACCGACCGAAAATGACGGCCACCGAGATGCTCATTCATGAACGCAAACAGATGAAAATCGCTTGGTTGAAGATCAGCTGTAGGGTGGGCGCTGAAGGACCCTCCCTCACCCCATATTCTGCAGCAGTCGTACTACGTTGGGACGAGCGTAGCCATGGAACGGAACCCCCAGTTGTGTTAGATATCCTTACCATCTTTGCTGGATTGCTTCATGCTGGTGTTGCAGATTTGCATAGTACTCATCAACCTAATCAGTATTCCGGAATTAGGCAGTCAATACGAATTTCGCTGTCTTTTGTAGACGAATTGCAAGGCCTGCCACTGTTGTCCTTGTTCTTGTCGACCGTCGAAACCCGTTCACCCACAAATTGTCTGCACCATGCGGCTGCCAGTTGTCCGGTCGACATGCCATCCCCATACACCTCCAACAGCAGGCGATGAATTTCTGCAGCGGAGGTGTGCATGGCCCACAAAAATGGATGCTACCTCGAATTTCAACTCGGGACCAATTTTCAAAGTGCATCGCCGTTTCACGACTGCACTGCTCACTTGATATGAGCGGTACAAGTGACGCCTCGCGCATTTATGACAAGTGCAACACCCCAAATATCGCTAATCGCACGCCTACGTTACACACCTCGCTGTCATTCTAGGGCTACAAGTCATCCTTGAGGAAAGTGAAGATCCCTTAGGAATATCTCGAAAGTCCTGTGAGAATGTGTGTGTCTTATAGATAACCTAAGAGAAGTCTTGAGTCCCTTGAGCAGTGGTAAGCAAAACTTTTTAGTAACGGTCTGCTTTCCGAAGTGACCTTCCTCCAGGGCCAAGGGAATGTCCAAGACATATAGGATCCGATGAGTTTCTTATTGGGACCCTATAGGTATTATAAAATACGTATTGGATACCAATGCTTTTTCATCGGATAAATATTGGGCTCCCAGTAGGAAATTAGGTGTCCTATAGGACTCATGCGATTCCTATAGGAACATTAGAGAGTGAGGGCAATCCAGTGCGCTGCAGACCTATGATGGGCGCTAGACAGCGAGATCATTGTACGGATCGTATCCACCTACATAAAGCCCTTGGACAAGCCAAATCCATTCAAGGATGGAATTCCAGGGATTGATTAGATGCGCGGGTTTAGGAGGCGGTGGAAGGACGTCCTCACCATGCGCAGAACAGAGTACGTCACCATCGCAAGAGCCAAGGGGCTTACTCAAGACTTTGTCGACGAATTCTTCGACTTCCTTGAAGCCAAGCTGACAGAACTGGGTCTCAAGAATAAGAGTCATCGAATGTGGAACCTTGATGAGACGGGGCTTTCAACTGACCCGAAGAAAACTCGACTCTTCTTCCGTCGCGGAATTCAGAACGCACATGTGCTGGTTCCGACAGAAGGGAAGGCCATGCCCACGGTGTTGTTCTGCGGCAGTGATTCTGGACAATTCATACGTCATCTACAAGGCCACGGGTTTGTCTGGTCTGCCGTGGCGTGGACGACTTGGGGTCCACCGGGAGCAACCTACAACACCACATCCAGATGGATGAAAGACTTCGTCTTCGAGGAATGGACCCTGAACGTCTTTCTGCCGTTCACTGAAACCATGGAGAAGCCCCAGGTCCTGTTCTTCGATGGTCATGGATCCCAGATCACCTACAAAACAACTCAGGCTGCTGCTGACAAGGATGTCCACATTCATCTGCATCCCACCCCACACATCCAACTCACTCCAGCCCCTTGACGTAGGAGTTTACGGCCCGGTCAAAAAGATGTGGTGGAGAATCTTGCAGAAATTCTTCTGGGAGACAGGACACAAAGAAGTAAAAAAAGAACACTTCTCCATTCTTCTAAACACACTCTTCACTGTAATGAACAAGCTTCCAGGAAACATACCAAACGGATTTGCGAAGTGTGGTTTCTGCCCCCTGAGCAAGGAAGCCATTCTAGCGGCCAAGATTATATTCTACTCCGCCGTGGATGTGCCACCTGCCGCACCTCTGACGCCTGCAATCTCCAGCTTTGTGGATACGACACCTACTACACCCTCTTCTGAGCTAACAGCGGGGACTTCCGGACATTTCACGTCCTCATCAGGGTTTGCGACGCCCTCCTCTGAGACAAGAGCATGGACTTCCGGGTCGGTGAGGCCTTTGACGCCAACCAAGGCGACTACACCATCCTCCTTTCAGTCATCTAGGCCGATATCTGGACCAACACATCCATCCCCTAATGCCGCGATGAGAGACGCCGTTTGATCCGCCCCAAGTACGAAGATGTCAACAATGACGATAAAGGCAATCGAAAACGCTAATGGCAGGCGTCGCCGGGTTCAGAAGAAGTACGGCGAATGCCTCACTTCAGCGGAATCCCTCAAAGGGCTCGCTGAAGAGGACGCTGAACGAAGCAAGAAGACAAAGATCGTTCGGAAGCCGTCCAAAAAGCAGATGCTTAACAAGCCCACCTAGCAAATCAAGCTTGATAGCTCGGAGGGATCAAGGGATTGAAGGAGAGGAGAACGACGTTTCTTTTTATTTGTTGCCGAATATCAAGGTTTTGCTATGTTTCATTTGGAAAATCATAGGGTGGGTTGGGCCTATTCGGTCACGATAGGCCTAACCGTGCTTTAGGAAGTGTTTTTTCTTCTACGTCAGCCCCTGGAATCGAGCAGTAAAGCAAACACTGACACGGAATACAGGTGACCCAATAGGCCCACCTCCTGGGGCTAATCGGTCACGCCGACCACAGGTTAATTTCTTAATTCTCAAGCTAATATATCAATATTCCAGATTTTGTTTTGGGCTGAATAAGTAGTTGAATGATATTGCCGTTTGAGGTTCCAACGTTTTTTCTATTATTATTTCTTATAAGTATAATTGGTTGTGGAGTAAGAAAAACGAAAAATTGTGACCGATTAGCCCCACACTACCCTATTTGTATTCCTGAGAGGAAAGTGAGGCTGGAACATGGGAAATGCATGAAAATGTTATCGTACATAAGGAAATTTCCCTATTAGTAGGCACATGATTGGCACAGAAGATGTCACTTTTTCTTGGATCACCATTAACATTTTGACTTGGTGGATTATTGCATTTCTCGTTACAGATCATATTGCTATACTGTACCCCAAAGCACCAGAAAGAAGTTGCTCCATTCACAATGACCTTAGGGATCGATCGATCGTAGACAACTGGATTAAAATCAATAAATTGGACTGCTACGCTCGCTTGCGAACAAATTCCTTAAAGTCAATTTGGGATGAAAATCCAATTGTCTAGTCCAGCATGAGATACCAGGTGTTCGATGGCTAGAGGGCTCTTCGAAATGATCTTTGGGGCGATCACGAGGCCTCCAGAGAAATATGCCGCGAAGAAACCGAACGTCCCGACAGACACGATGCTGTGATTGCAATGAGAGAGGACCGTGAAGTCGAAGTCCCTGTCTTTTCCTTCCACAAACACAATTGGCATATTTTCATCTACGTTTTCCACGTTTTCCCTACTCCATTTCAGGTCGTCACTCGCCAGGACGAAGACAACCTTAGAGAAAATCAGACCAAAGTGTTCCATTGCTCTCTTGTAATACCCCGCAGACACAGTTCCTGCTTCATGTTTCTCTTTATTGTACGCAATCTGATCTGTGCGACGAACGTGAATTCCGATGAATGTCGAGTCTCCTCCGTATGTTACAGACAACGACGGAAAGAAGGATTCCGTACGTTGCACCAGTTTTGAATCGAACCGGAAATCTGGCATCCATTCCCTCCTGAATTTGTGGTGAAGCTTACTATAGTTCGGGAAGCCAGGGAGGAAAATATCATTGTCTCTAACGAAACGTGGGTCGTTCCCTGGGGGAATTCCCATCTCGGTCCAATTCCTGGGGGAACATCCCGTCTCGTTCTCTCTCCTCAGGCTGAGATGGGGGAAGAGGGGCAGCAGGCTCTCCAAGAGATTGCCGCTGAGCACGGGGATCTTCCCGTACTCCATGCCGTATGAGAAGACGCTGGCATACTCGCCGATCATATTGCCCAATCGTCCACGATTTGTCACGGTCACAAATGTCACGTTTCTGCACTGCTCGTCGGTCAGTGGGAATTCCAGCCATAGGCCAGAATCCCTTTCGGCTACATCGAAATGCGTGGAAAATATCTTCGTCTTCTGAGTCTGGTTCGTCAGTCGCAGTCCTCGCAGGTCTTCCGGCATGTCTCCAGTTTCCAAATGTTTCCTATATTGTTTTGAAAATGGAGTAGGTGAAATAAGTTCCTTGAAGGAAACAATAGTTGCCACCATGACCAAGGCGAGGACACAGCTGACGCTCTTGAATCTTGACAAATCCCTAGGCATAAAATAATGCAAGCAATAAGGTTTTCTTTCTCGACATGACATAAGCGAGCTTTTTCACCGGGTCCATTACATTGTAACTTGGATTTTTACTAATTTAGAAGTATTCTATTAGCATGAATTCACATGAAACTCCACGATCTGGAATTCAGCTCACGTTTTGATGACAGCGAAGTTTAAGCATAATCGTTATTTGGTATTGCTTTTATTAGAATGGCAGATGAGTCATAGAAGTCCTACTTAGAAAATTTCCCTTGCGCCGGGAGTATCTCTCTGGCCACGACTATCACGCCCTTACGAAACGTCAACCTCTCATGTGGATTCGGAACCAGGTGAATGTCCCCCTAGGCGCTGTTTCCACCTGATGGAGCAATGTCCACCTGGGGGAAAATCTACCCGAGAGGAAAAATCCACCTGGCTCGAAATACATGTGGATACAATGGATATGCGGATTTCCACCGAGGCGGACGTTCACCTGGTTCCAAATCCACCCCAATCCACCTAGTTGTTTGACCAGGTGGATAGGGGGTTGACTTTTTGTAAGGGCGAAAAATATGTCATGGCTGGGCAACAAGTGGGGTTCAAGAAAACAAAAGTTTAATATGGCAGGTAATCAGGCACATGCACTATTGTCCCCTATAATACCGTCCCATTTGAACTGATTAATTACTTTCATTGCCAATGCTGTCAAAGCAATGTAAACACCGGCAGCCACGTGAAAGGCGAAAAAGAGAATCTGAAGCCGAGTCCTAATGCATTTTGTCTTTCAGGACCACTGTCCTCACTTTACCTCTGTCGTCAGTGATCAGTCGGTCTCCTATCTTGATCCCACTATCTCCCTCTCCTTGTCTTCTTATTCCTTCAGGTACTACAGTACAATTCCATTTGAAGGCCTACTGGGCCAAGGATCTTGGACATACTCCTCCCTCACCTTTTCCATGTACCATTTTTAATAAGTGCGGAATATACATTTCAGGAAATAGCGACTCAAGTGTGCGAAACCGGTCTATGATCATGCATGCATGTATTGCATGCATATTGTGTGCATATTGCCAGCTAGCGAGTTTGTTTGCCCTCCGAGCAAATAAACTCTAGTATGGTAGGGGCTTCGGCGCTCGACGATCTTGGATTTTATTAAATCATTTGAAGGATCGAGGTCGAGCATTGTAATTAAATTCTGTGTGTTGTAGAAATTTTGAAATTCTCTATTAAGATGCTTCTCATGTGATATTATTGAAAAACTAACGAACTGAGATCCTTAATTTTCTTAGATAATCATATCGATAGTACCAATTCTATATGAAATTCTAACTTTCCATAGCTGCCGAAGTCGGTGCAGGGTAATCATTTTTTAGAAACGTACTAAACAATTCGCTTACTTAGAACTTAAAATAAGGATTTTCCTAAATAATAGGAATAATAGAAAAATAGGAATAATCTTTCCTAAAATCCTTCCTTAACGAATTTGAAGCTTTCTTTATCTGTCTGATTCTTGAAACGAATTTTCTAGGGGATTTCCTATGGTGGTTGGTTCTTCCTAAAATATAAATCTCTATAGGTACCAGTATACCAAATGTTTTATGTCTCTCCTTTTTTTGGTAATGAAAAATGTTTGGGAAAGCATCTGGTTTTAAAAAGGGTACTGAGGGATGCATCTGAAAAATATTTTTTTCCCTGAAATCATACCCGAAGAACTCCTGGATTGCCAAATAGCATTTGTTTAGCTCTCTAATTTCTTTTTCAGCGAAACCGGCTTTGTAAGAAAATTAGCATGAAAATAATTTGCCCTAAGCGGATTTACCTCAAATAATATATATTTTTCATTTATATTAACATCTAGAAAACTACATGTTTACAACGTTCCATGTTTCTATAATTGCCCATCTCGATGGAGCGAAAAGATTTCGTTAATTTCAGCATATCCAAGTCACATGAGTAGGGTTCTACAGGAAATATCATCGGGGGAATAGACTCCCCGAATCATACATATTTGACTTACCTCCGCATTATTCAGCAAGCTAGGCTCACATCAACTTGTTTCGTGGTTAGACTCTCCTTAAAGAGATGTCTTTCCGGATCACTTGAGTCGGATCTCTTAAGTCAAGTGTAATTTTTCCAGAAACAAAACGTCCTCTTGGTGTGCCTTAGTCTGCTTTCTTCGGATCAAATTGGCAAGGACAAGAAACCCTATAGACCTTGCATGAGACGGGACATGTCATGCTGCAACGTCTCTATCTCTTCTCATCTTTGCTTCGACTCGCACCCTTAACCCGGTTTGCATTCTTTGAATAGATGTTCGGGTACGAAGAGGCGAGATAATCTTTTCGTTTCATTCACCATCGAAATATTCCACGATGGGTAAGCCAGAAGAGGAGCACCAATAATGGCACTCCGAATACAACCGTATGGCACCACGATAGCACAGCGACAGGGTCGGGTGGAGCGCAACTGATTTCCAAACCCAGACTGAGCTGGGTTTCCAAGTTTCTTTATCGCTCGCGGACTTTCACATCTACTATTGGTTGAGACTCCGCAGTGGATCATTCGTGTTGTTTCCTCAAAAGAGAAACTATGATTGAAAATTTACGGGGAAAAAAAATTCATACAAGAGACCCAGAAAATGAGGGAGAAAGTTGTTGTAATTCTATGAAATTTCATATGCAGGGTGTACGAGAATTCCGGTCACAAGTCACAAGTTGTGAAGTTTATTAAACGATTAACACAGGAGTCAAAACTAAGTAATTTGAAACGTTGGTGGTCCACATGTAATCAATGCAGAATGTGAGTCATTTGCATGAGATACACATATGCAATTATATTATTTCAGAGTTCAAACTGTCGTCCATCTGCAGCGATTATAGCGTTTTTGGAAATCATTGCACACTGTGCCATTTTCAACTAAATTTTCAACGCGTTGTGACTTTCAAAAGCTAGTCATCTGCTAGTCAACATGAGCATCTGCAACACCGATCAACACCAACCTTGTCTCCTGCATCTTTGTCCCCAATCTGCCCACTATTCCCAAATGTGGCAGTTCAATATGGAATTCAGCTTGGAAACGTCATCGTGCTTCACGATCGCTACCAAAGGCTATTGAAAACGCTGCTGCTTTCAGATTTAGCGCCACAGTGCATTCCGTATGTTATGAGTCACTTAATTCCCTTGTCGAGCCCTCTTTATTCATTAATCATGTCAGCACCTCACTAGAACAGAACTGGACTAGAACTAGAACATCTGGCCAGCCGGCAAAAAGTGGCCTGCGAGGCTCTAACTAGCCTAACTGGACCCTAATATATATTCGGAGGAAGAGAAGTTACAACTAGAAATAATAGATCTGAAGCGCAGCCCCATGCTCAAGAACAGGATCGAGGATATTCCAGGCGTTCAAATTGCAGAATTAGTGATTTCGTTTCGGAAAGTACTGTCATAGAATGATATGCGACCGAAATTCCGGGACACCTGTAATGAGACGATCGTGAGTGAGTCACTGACACGAGGTCTAATCACAAGGTCTAAGTATTTTATAATACCCATAGGGTCCCAATACGAAAATCATCGGATCCTCCGGTAGCATAGGCGTGCGATTAGCGATATTAGGGGTGTTGCACTTGTCATAAATGCGCGAGGCGTCACCTAATGCCTCACCGTCCAATAGGATAATGTGAAAAAGTAGATCCCCTTGAGTACTCTATGCAGCAATTGTATCGTTTGGTTGTAATAAATACAAACACTTTGGACCCTGGTTCTAAAGTTTTTTTTTCCGATCACCCCTCACATAATTCCATGACGAGAGGCGCTAATTCGTTACTATTCCCTAACGTAACTGAAGTAAGTTGCCTTTTGATTGAAGACAAAGATGTGTGACGCATACATCTAAACCGCCAAAACAGTGAAAGTTCCCTTGTACTCAGCATCTTCCCTTTTGTCACATATCCTCATGCAATCAGCAGCAGACGGTACCATTGTTTATGATCTGACACGAAGAGCGACTCCTGCACTGGACAGGAATTACAAATTTCAACTTTGAGGAAACTAACAATGACCAATCCTGTATCTAAAGAAAAACATATGTTTCTACTCTGGACACGTGCCAACTCCCACCTATGGTTACAATTTGAGCTGCGTAAAAGCAAGACGTGCATGCCGGACGTCTTCCAAGCAATATTCAATCCGTCCATGCTCAGATTGCATGCGATTTGCCGATAGTATGTTCCAGGGCACTCACTTGCAAGATCGTCGCCATTGTGTTTCAAAGGATTTCCTAAACTCCTCTCACCACCTAAAGGCGTTGAGCTAGTGATATGGTTTAGAGCTGAAATATTCAGTGATGAACAAATCTAATGCGGTCGGCATCACAATCTGTTCTTTTCTGTTAGTAGAGTGAGAGTGAGTGCAGAGGTTCAATGCGTCCTCAACCCTTATCGAATGATATACTCTATCAGCATGCCTCTATTTGAGGACACAGGTCGACTGCGATATTCAACATCCTGTTGCTCGGAGGATGTCATTCGGTTCTTTTATTGCACATCAGAAATATGGCATCATAAAATGGAGCAACTTTGTATAATGCATATCTCTTGAGTTCCCTCCTCATGGGCTTCGTGGCGCCATCACCAGGAATCTCCCTATCCCACGCTCCTTCTGCCTGTCTCCATTCCGAATACATTTTGCAATAATATAATCTTGAGAAGCGAAGAACAGATGAAGAACAATACGCCAAATCACGCTTTCGTTGCATTCCACTACCATCCGATTCGGCTGTGATGTTCCTTCTAAAATTCTTGAATGTAAAATTAGCGTAAAAATAATGACATCTGTGGTGAAGAGTGTGAAGAAAAATCTTGCAACCGGAGTGGAAGATGGTCACGAGGGAACATATGGCTAAGGAATCATGATTGCAGTACATGATGTTATACTGCACATGGTGCATTTGTGGCATCCCCAGAGGCTGTCACCCTACTTCGGTTGTTCAACGGACTAATATCCTGGGAGGGGTGGAATCATTATTATTATTGCCCCTCCCTGCTATCACATGGAGGAAGAGGACACTGACAGGGACAGATGGATGGTCTCCTTAAAAGGTGTCAAAAATGGGGTTTTTCCGGAATCCCCGCAAGAAGGGTCCGGATCGCCTTCTTCTGCATCATTTGTTACCCCAATTAGCAGTGCCCTCCCATCCTCCGGCCCTATTAGCGACGGAGGTAGGTAGAGTGACACTATATAAACTCAGCGTAGGAGTCGCCAGGGGAGTGAGAAGAGGGAAGGTGAAATGCTCCAGACCTCGCTGCGGCTGCGACACCGGGCTAGGGACCCCGTTCGTAGATTCCAAACTTGCTATTTCTTCTCGGTTGGTGCCGAGGTGCCTAAGTGCAAGTTGGAGCCCGACTTGGATGGATCTGGTTGAAACCGGGAGGAACACTTAGAAATAGTAAGGACGAATTTTGGAGAGAGGGCGTGCGGAAGGTTGGAGTCCCGAGCAACCCCTTCCAAATTCATTCTCGAGTCGCGATTACGGTAAAAATCATGAAACGACGCGCGACCTGCGCTACATCTAGGGTGAAATAAATTTGTGCTTGTTTGTTTTCTTTTTCTTTCTGAATTCTCACACATATATCTCAGGGACTCAGGGACGCATTCACTGGGCGGTGCTTAGGGATTTTGCTAATTTTCTTCTGTTTAGTATACTGTAGAGCTAATTGTGTATTGTATAACGAATGTAAATTAGAATAAACTAAATCTGAGATAACCCAGTCCGCTTTGGAATCTTTGCCCAACAGCTACTGATTCCGTATCGACCAATACAAACATTCCCAAGGGGACAAATTCTATCAATTTCTTTGTTTTTCTTATTCGCGACGGTAGAGCTGTTTGCCGGTAAGCTATCACGTACTACCACTTAAACTTTGCACTTACGTACTACCGACCACGCCCGACGATACCGCACGCTACACATTGAACATATTCCACGAAAGCTGCGAGGTATAAGTTGTGATCCGTCCGACCCTGTTCTTGTGTAGGCTGTAGGAACCCAACCTCAACCTCATCCTCACCTCCTCCCCCCCTCCCCAACCTTCTCTACGGAACTAACTGTCAGGCCCTGGCCTGCCATTTTTCGTTTGAAAAAAAACTCAATACTCGACCTACGGACCAATTAGGCTTAAAATGATTAATCCATGGTCTTCCAGACACCTCGTGGAAGACGTGCAACGTTAGGCCAATCGCAGGCCTATTTAGTCTCTCATGGCCCATTTAACAAAGAACCTGTAACGTTAGACCGAATGTGGGCCTTTTTCGAGTTTCATGAGCCATTTCAGTGCGGTCGGAGAACATTAGGCTTATCCAGAGTTCCTTGAATCGTCTCGAGAAGAAAATGCCTCCAGGGCGCATGCCATACAAACTGGCTGTCATCATCTTAATTTAGGGATGTCCGGATGAGATACCTCCGTATTCCACCAAATCCATCGTTCACTGCAAACCACCGCTTCAGTCTCAGCTGATCCCATGAAACCAGCAAAATAATGTCTCCTACATTAAAAAGAGAAGATTCAGACAAAGATACTAAGACCGAAGAAGTCATGAATCTGGGATAACTAAGGCACGATATCCGGCAACACTGGAGGACGGGACTGGAGCCATCTTGCTAAGCCTAAATTAACGGCATCTAATATCATTTTTCATGGCGATATGGTGGAATAGAAGCAACAAAAATGACACTTTTTGTCTCCTACAGGTCTATATCTTTCGCTTGGTTGGTCTCTTTCCTACTAAAACTGCCCAGGAGCGCTTACCCAGGGGGTGAGAAAAAAAAAGGAAAAAGAAATACTGTAACGAAATTGACATCTTCCAAATGCGAGATTCAGTGATCTCCACAACCCCTGGAAGATGGAGCTTCCAATAGCTGGCGCGATTCTGTGTTGGGAGAGGAAGAAGTATGCTAAATTTCGTTCCTGCTGATGTTCTCTGTGAGGAATACGAGACGGTTGCATTTTGTCGCCGGAATGGGTTGAAGAAATGTAATGGGCGCTAAAGCGCCCATTGTTATAATGAATCTCTTTTACTATGAATTGAACATTTTCCCTGAGGTAAATACATCCTGAGTGGACTATACGTCGAATGGTACATGTTATATATCAATCGTAAGCTCTTGATGAGTAGATTGCGTTGGTACATATTTTATCTGCGAAAGATGGGAAAGAAGTAGTAATTTTAATGTGAAGAAGTGTGGGTCGTAGGATAGGCAAGCATGAAATGGCGTGCACGTTCGCCATGGGGTAGCCACGTTGAATGGAGGGCGAGAGTGCCTGTTTACGTTGGAACAGAAAGCCTTATATGTGGTGATAGGGAGAGAGATAGTGCGTCCCAGGTTCGGTGGAGTAATGGTAACACGCCTGACCGGAAATCAGAGGGCTCGTGTTCGAACCCCGGCCTTGCAAGCCTTACCTTGCCTTCGCTTCTCATGACGTATACCCTGTATTCCACCAAAAGGAAGCTCAATCACTTGAATGCTCGACCCTCAAACCTTTTCACTCTGTGCTTTTGAGTTTTTGCCATATACCATTACTAACTAACCTCAGAGAAAACAGGAAGAAGGTAGATCAAGCGAGCCGCATTCCTTCTACGTTTGACCGAACGAGCGAGAAAGTCAGCATAATTCAGGGGTGATGGATCAGTTGGATCAGAAAATAATCGTGGCCAGAGGCAGCGACCCTTTCCTAACCCAACTGACCCACCATCAGTGTTGGGCGTGTTACCTGTGAAATGTAACTAGTAGAAATGTAACAATTACAAGTGTTCCATCCAAAAAATAATTACTTACCAGTAGAATTACTATTCTACAAAAGTAACTAGTTACAAGTAGAAGTTACTTTTCTCATTACTTTTCCTGAACAAAAATTTTGATCTTTCAACAGCTTTTCCGTGTCTTTGACAGAAGCTGGATGCATGGACTGAAAGCGAAAGTGACCCCTGATTTAATGAAATTTGAATGATGATCATCACTGAACTGGATAAATTCTCATGCTCACTCTTTACCCTGTGCCTCTTCCATTTCCATGGACTACTTAACAAGAATTATATGCTGATAGTCAGAATGCACCCTTTAATTTTAAAGAAATGCCAATTTTGCCATTGGTGATAGGAAGACCTACCTCAGCCTGCCCCCTATCACGAGTTCCCAATGAACAAAAAAAAACAGAAAAAGTTGAAGTCATGTTCTCTTGTTTCCCCTTAACCAGACATTGACTGCACAAATCCAGCCCATTCAGTGATTGTAAAAAGTTCGTGAACATTCATTTTTAATGCATATGGTACTTTTATGGCGCAATCAAGGAGATGAGGGTGTTTCGACGATGAAAAATGGGGAATTGGGTTTGAGGCGTTCATGTTAAAAATGGTACAAATTCACTTGCAAATGTATATTAGGTTAGGATCTACACTTGCGAGTGCTAAACCTAAGAAATAACGGAGTCTATTGATAGATTGTTGGGAGGGTGATAAAACGGAGCACTCGAAATATGGCGAGGTAACCAGGGTATGCCCGCCCGCAGAGCCTAAAAAAATCAGGCAAAATTGATGAGAGAGATGCCAACGTTAGGCATACGAAAGGTTTCCGTGCAGATGCACTATCAGGCCCAAACCAACGCGTACCATTCAGACCTAACATTAGGCCAAAAGGATAGAATAATTTCTGCCAAGACGGAGTTTAAAAAATGCCGCTCACGCGAGTTTAAGGCCGAAAAGGAACCGCTGAGCCATGACAAAAATCTGCTGTCAGGCAAGAGAAAAATGAGCTGCACTCAGTGGGACAAGAATAAACCGTTCACAGCTGCACTCGGTTGGGCGAGGGAAATGCCGCTCACCGCTGCACACGGTTGGGCAAAAGCAAAAAAAACTGCTCACTGAAACAGATGTAATCGATTGGACGAAGGAAAGAACTGCTCACCGCGCTGCAATCGATTGGACGAGGAGGATGTTCACTGAACTGATGTTCATTCAGTTGCAAAGCAGAAAACGCTCACCGCTGCCACCAGTGTCACATTGTCTTGCTTCGTGAATGTACACGGCTGGGCTCGAGACATAACAGTTTAATCATAACCACAGGTCAGAGCAAAAAGAGAAAATGCGGCGGATTCAGCCGAAGACAAAGATGCAGGGGAATTCAGCCGTTTTTGTAGCGCTTCGATGCGCCGGAGGAGGGAGAATTTAGTCTCAGGAATCGAGAATCCTCGTACGTCCAGGCAATTAGTACGGCACCCCATTTAACATAGTTTCCTTTTGGATTTATTTGATTTTCAAGCGCAAAACTTCATATGTGAAAATTTCATGTTGACCAAACGTGGACACGAGCGGTGAAACACTCACGTCCACGTATTCTTGGAATAATTTAAACGAGGCCGCGTTCAGGACGTTACATTGAAGATAGGATTTCGGAGAGCGAACAGGAAGAAGGGAGGCAAGTCAGCGCTGCCACAGTCTCGCATAGAGACGGCAAGACGGCGACGAGAAGGCGAGTGCCAGGCACGTCTTTGGCGCCAGGCCGGGGCAGGGGGGATGTAGTGTACCCCATGACTTACAGGCTTCCCTCGCACTTGCATGGGTTCGCACTTGCACTCTATTTTTCGTTTACTACCAATAATTCGGGAGGCACGGGGTGTGGTTCGCAGATACACGGTTTGAGTTTATTGAATTTTTGGTATAATTGAAAAGTGCAAGTGCGAATCCGTGGGAAAAGAACTCGTGTAAAGCGAGGGAAGCCAGAACGAATCTCCGGTGTAAAGCGAGGGACTACTGTAATGCCTTCCTCCAGGTCCTGCGCCGGGCTAGGGCCCTGGAAAGGGTGGGAATTTATCGCTACTCCTCCTCTACGCGTGTCCATATGTCCTGAACAGAGGAGAATACGGAGTCCAAGTGGATTCTGTGTAGCTGTGCACTGATCGGCTGTGACCGGGGAGCCGTTGAGTTCGGGAAACAATGCCACGTGCTCCCGTAGTCAACAATAAACCGCGGAGGGCTGCCTCACTTCTCCCTCCTTTTTCTCGAAAACGGTTCGGTTTCCGAAAAATTGCATTCAAACAATATTTGTAGTCCTGAGTCTGCCCTAGCCAGTGGTATACTTTTTTGGCTTTTCGGCCCTATTTAAGTGAGATAATCGAACGCAAAGGATAACGCCTCTATCATGTATTTCCCTTTCCATCAGACGCCGTCCTTCTCCCCCACACATCTCGACAATGACACTCTTGACGAAAAATCACTTTCTGACAAGATTTATAGTCTAGATTCTACCCTAACCGGTGGTGCACATTTTTTAGCTGTACGCTTTCATTTTAGTATGATACACCTCCAGGTAGGAGCTTCTTCAATCCCACCTCTCCCGGGAGGTCATACGATGTTCTTTCTTTCTCAGGAATCTCGAGAACGGCTTGTCTCATGAACATCCTTTTCACACAAGACTTGGAGCTCAGAAGCTTTTCTTGCCTGTGGTATACGTTTCGTAGCTATATGTTCGTGTCTATTTTATGCATACGTTACCTGTTAGAAAATGAGCGGTGAACGTGCTCTATCAACACAGATCAGGTCTTGATTCGATTCCATGATCGAATTCAATTGCTGTTAGGCATATCCTTTTATTAATCCAGGACATTCACACCGTCCTTCATGGCCTTGTCTGTCCGAAGATATGAGGCAGAAGCTGCTCTTTCTAGAAGTGTTCTTTGATTTCCAGGTTTTTTTTCCCATTCGTCCTCACGCTGAATACGGGTAATTGATATATCATATCTTTAGTTGTCCAGACAACGAAGTCATACAACTCTCTCTGGGTTATAAGAAGTTGTCCTTGGACCTGATGCCAATAATCATGCGTAGGCTTCAAAAGGAACCCCTCATCCAAGTATAAGTTCTTATCCTTCACAGCCTCTGCAACCGTGAGTTCCCGCATTTTGTAAGGGCATTTCATTTCTAATAGACCATCCTTTCCAACAAAACCGTCAGGACTGGCTCCCATGAATCCATTTTTCATCAAAGTTCTGTCTGTGTCACTTTTATGCCCTTCTTTTTCTCATTCTCACGGATTGCATGGTCCTCATGCACTTGACCCCTTATGATGGCATCTCTCGTGCTCAAGTCGTACCCCTCACATAACCTGTACAGGCTTGGAGGATATGACTGCCTTCGGACAGCCGACAGTATTACACCAAAATTGCTGGCAGTTATCCTGTTTTTTCGCAAGAAATTCCACATGGGATTTTGTTGCTGTCCTGTGGTGTCTCGCTGAACTTGAAGGATTCCCTCAGGAGACAGGCACAAGGCACTGAAGAACTCGGCTGGATCACGTAGATAAAGAGTAGTAAAGTCTTCGATAGAAGGCGCGACGGGACCCTTGAACTCGGGTTCAAGATGAAGGTACCAGTTTTTCATAGGACAATTCACATTTAGTTCTTTCAATTTAGCATGTAGAAAAGCGATGTCTTCGTCAGAAACTGCCTTCTCTGAGGGAACATAGTGACTCTTCACATCTGGGAACAGGGAATTGAACGTTGGAAGTTCCTCTCCCGAGGGTTTTGTAGAACACACCGCTTTGCCCTTTGCACATTCACAACGAGCAAAATAATCCTCAGGCCTATTTCATCGGCTATTTCCATTTCCACACGATATCTTCGGTCTCGCATTGACGCTTGGACACGACTTCGTATCTCAAAGTCTCTCAATTCGAAATGAATCACGTTGCCAGCTTCGTATGATAGCTCTCCACGTTGAAAAGTCTTCTTGTTACCTTCACAGAAGTCAATGATGCTACTTATTGAAATCATTTTCTCGAAAGACAAAGTACGTGCACCATGAATCGAGGAATCTAGAAACTATGCATCGTTTAGATTGTATGGCTTTGGGCCTAGGAGATAATGGACATCTGAGAACGAGGGCCGTCGCCAGGTTCATTTTCAGGAAGATGATACTCTAGTAAAAGAAACAAACAAATCGCTGGGTATGAATGGATACAGCACTTTCTTCGTTTTGGCATTCGATTCCTTCCTCAGGAGATATAGGATGAAGAAAGACAGTCAAGGATACCCATTTATTTCTTCTCGGATTAAAGTGGGCATTTAATCTATTTATGCAACATCAGGCAAAATAGAGAACTGAAAATTAACGAGACAGCCGCAAACTTGAACGACCTTCGTCGCTAAGGGTCTAATATTACAGGGGAAGTGATGCATTATGGAGTAAGTTTTCATCCTTTGAATCGCCCTTTCAACATGTACCTTGGTACTGTCTATTTTCCTGGTGAAAAGTGCTTCTTCCCGTGTAAATTGCTTCTTTCCGCTGAAAAATGTTGGTAATTTCAGAGAAACGCCAGGGGGAAGAATGTAATATATGGCGAAGCCTAATCGGCCAGGATGAAGTCGCCAGCTTCGAAATGTGACAACAGCCCACAGTGTTTGGTCAGGGCTTCATCACTGACATTCCAAGGGTACACTTCGCTCACATATGTTATTGTTCCATTTGGAGCCACACCCATCAGAAACTTCGCAGTATTTCTTGATTTGTAATTGTTGAATGTAGCTTTCTGTGCAGTCAGGCTGGAACGAGTAACGGGAATTTCGATTCCCGAGCAATCAATAATCATTCTGCAAGCTAAAAATTCAGAAAATTGATCTGGCAAGCATAGCTGATTTTTCCTAACGGAAGGCGCCTTGCCTTTCATAACACCTTCATACGCCTTCTGATGAAACAGATACAGAAATTTCATGAAGATGTCCTGAACTGAAGTAGTGATTATGCCAAATCGGACAGACAAGTCCACATCAGGGACTGCAAGCTTCAGCTTCACCAGAAAGAGTAAAAACTGCGACTTTAAGACTCTGGACAGTCCACTCAAAATAATATATGAACGGCTGGAATCTTTCAAGGAACAGTTGAAGCACTTCGAAAGCTACCTGAGAAAGGCCTGTATCAGCTCTCAGAGCCTTTTCATTCTCCTTGACCGTGGCGTAGGTCAATGTATCCGACTTCTCCGAAGTCAGCACACAGTTTCTGTCTTGGAGTTCTGGATGATCATTGCTCTGGTTTCATCTTTCGATTCACTGCAAAAGGCATCCACTTGCCCGCCAATATCACTCCTGTCCATAAGATTCATGTTTGATACATGAGAACGAAACGGAAATGTGACCAAATATGTAAGTAAATGGGAAATGCATGCCTAACCTGAAAAGTGACTCGGTCTGGACTCCAATACAGGCTGTGTGAAGTAGAATTACTTCAGTGGCAGAAGCAGAGTTTTCCTGTATGTTTATGTTTTCTTCATTCTCTTCCTCAAGGGCACCTTGTCCTTTAGGAATGAGTTGGGGATCTGCCCGATCTCGCGGATTTTGTCTTTTGTTGACCCTTTCGTCCTCGGGTTTTCCCTTGAGATTCAGAGAGGGAACGATGCCTTTCCGCAGTCTTTTGCACATCGCAGCTATGTTCGCAAAATCGTCCTCAAGAAAGTGCCTGCCGCACACAACAGATCTCTCTGAGGGAGACCAATTTTCGCGAGAAATTCTTGTTATCCAAGCATTCATTTGAACTGGATTCTTTGGAAACGTGTGAAAGGATGCTCCATCGTGTGTGGAGGCATTGCAACCGAAAACACAGCAAGTCATCACCATCTTGAGAAAATACAAGTCGAGTTACAGATCCTTTAGAACTTGCCGAATTCAGGGCGGGAAACTAAACGACATATAGCGCTGAATTTATGCATTCATCGTCACTGTTATTAGTCTTCATATAATCTGCTCCGGAGAATTGCCTACATCGCACAAAGGAAGACGGTGCTCAGCTGCAAGAGGGAATAGGACGGTCGCTCACATGAGAGTTATAATTTTACCTCTAGGGAATATGAACGCATAGCTACGAAACGAATACCACAGGCAAGAAAAGCCTCTGAGCTCCAAATCTTGTCTGAAAAGGATGTTCATGAGACAAGCCGTTTTCGAGACGCTTGAGAAAGAAAGAACATCGTCTGACCTCCCGGGAGAGGTGAGATTGAAGAAGGTCCTACCTGGAGGTGTATCAGACTAAAATGGAAGCGTACAGCTAAAAAATGTACACCACCGGTTAGGGTAGAATCTAGACTATAAATCTTGTCAGAAAGTGATTTTTCGTCAAGAGTGTCATTGTCGAAATGTGTGGGGGAGAAGGACGGCGTTTGGTGGAAAGGGAGATACATGATAGAGGGTAGAGAATACATTTTGAAATACTTCCCTCCTATAATCTACGCTAAGGGGACATATTTCAAAAGTATGATTTTTCCTGTACTGAACAGGTACTTCTGAGGATCAACTTTCGTTTGATAAAGAAAAATTCAGAAAAGTGGGACTGAAGAAAAAGAACACTGATGGGGTTTTACCGACTTTTTTTTCTCATAAAATTAAGACTTGGGGAACTCCTTGCCACCTAGTTTCCCAGATTTGTCTGAACATTGGTCCTTCAAGGACCTGGTATTGTGGCCTTGCGCATTAGGCTCAAATAGCAGAGTCCTAGGTCAGTGCATCCCATGAGCTAAACTCTCGATGTCTAATCATTTCTGGGACACCCTGCATGTTGAAAGTCCTCTTCCAGCGAAGGTGCAGTGGAGAAGAAGATAATTGAAAGGCCATGACCAATACTGAATGTAATATACCTATAATTCACGGTGATCTTCGATTCAGTTATACCGTTCTAATCATTCAACTTTAGACATGATGCGAGATTTCTTAATATTTGATATTTTTATTTTCTGATGCTGTTCACCCGATATTAAGGGCCATTGACGTTTTCTGCCATAAGCAAATTCAATCAGTCCCTTCTACTGGTTCAATAATTTTTGTCCAGCATTCCGATGCACAGCCATAGAATATAGTTTGTGTAGCTGAGGAACATTTCGTTGAAAGCATAGCAAGTTCCTTCAGAGCATAATATAAATCGAAGTTTATTTNATCTATTTTGCAATTGAAAACATTATAACTTCCTGCACCTGTATATTAAAGGGCCTGATTGATTATTTCCCTGATTAATCGCGCAGAAGTGAGGATTACCTGAAAAGTATAAACATCAATATCTAAAAGAAACCAATTAATCAAACAATTCAGTTTTAAACGGATGTTATCATTTGTCCAAATCTTCCCCAATATGTATTTTCTGAAAACGAAACTAGCAAAACCTTCAGTTTTTGGTGAAAATGTCCATAAAAAGTATATTTCAATGGCAAAAGGTCATCCTGTAAAGTTGCTAATCCAAATCTTGACCCAATGAATTTTCCTTAAATGTCCTTAGATTCAGTTCCATATTAGGGAATTAATATGCTGGCAATAGTTTTTAGCTGCGACTTTGCTAATGCAATCATACATACCTGGCAATGGATAAATATTGATGATCTCCTAAAGTAATTGCAAGTGGCAATCAGAGAAGTAAATAGAGTTCGCGAATGATGACTGAAATAAATTTTCCAAGCTCAGGGAAGAAGAATCCGATGAAGCCTACCTCTTGTATGGAGATTTTGGCTGTGTATCTGATGTCACTCCCCTCTCGCTTGAAGAGGGGATGAGGCTCATCCCGAATGATGAACACTACATCTGTTGGATTCCCGCGTGAACCTCGATCTCCCTCTCCTTCGAAAGTGATCCTTGTCCCGGATTTACAGCCTGGCTTGATGTTGACGATGAGGAGCTTGGATTCCTGCTTCGTCTTTCCATCTATCCCTGTCATTTTTCGAGTGATCATCATCTTCTTCTCACAGCCTTCTTGGAGTTCCTCCAGGGTAACATATAGATCGTGTTCGATAGGAGGATCTTGACTTTTTGGCTTGGATTGGCCCTGGCTTGAACTTCCCTTAGAGGATGAACGACGTGAGTTTGAATCCCCGTCACCAACACGAGATCCACGGAAACCAAAGGAATCCAAAAGGTCATCAACATTCTCGTGACTGGGTTTCTCAGAAGCCTTTTGACCGGGCCTATCCATGTTAAAGGTTTCAAAGGGATTGTTAGGGCCGAAGAATTCCGCAAATGTTTCTTTTGGGCATGTGAATCCAGATCCTCGTCCACCACCTCCTCCAGTGACCCTACTCTGGAATCCCTCCTCTCTGTGTTTGTCATGATTCTTTCTTCTCTTATTGCCACACAGCACCTCGTAAGCCTCAAGTACCTCCATGATACGCCTCTTCGCTCCCCAACGGATTTCATCCCCTGAGGCATTTTCATCTACCCTCAATATGTCAAGAAACCTTTTCGCCATCTGCACATTTAACTGCCTACCAGAAAAGGAATCAAGAGGATTGCATGAGGATCATATGACATTATGGACTTGAGGACCTTGATATAAACCACAATCTAGATTGTCCCTTGCTACAAAAGACCTAAGACCCACTTCGAACTCATAAATAATAAATATGAAAACCATTTTTCGAAGGCTTTCCCTGTACACAACTTCAACCCCCCTCCTCCCCTCTTCCCTTCGAGACTCACTAAATTTAGGTCTAGGCTTAACCGACGGACTGTCCTCGGGTTAGGCCTAGGTCTACCTTTTTTGTCCAAAGAAAACTCAATCCTCGACGTATGATGCTCTCAGAGAGGAATACGAGGAGGATGAATTTTGTTACTGGTAAAGGTAGAAGAAAGGTACGTAATAGGCGCTGCCGTTCCCATTGATCCATGGTTTCATGTATGAGTGAATACTACTAGTTGGGACCTTCTAGGCTCTGATGGCTATTTAACAATGCTACACGTCGTCAATATATTTTCCTGTATTCCATTGCAACTTGTGTCGTCTCTCTGGATAACTTTGTCTAACCTATTATGCATTCCCCAGATGGATCATTCTATCATGGAGGTGTCAATGGCTCATGCTTCAATGAAATATACTTTGTCCCGATGAAAAAAGTGGGCCCTTTTTTCAATTTGTAGCTTCTGGTAATTCGCTCAGTCCATCGCTGTGCGCTTTTGAAGGGTGACTAAAACATCAAATGAGCACATGCATGCAAAGTTGTAACAAAATTGTCATTCGGACGTCCAAGAAGAAAAGTGCATTTTTATTTTCTGATTCACACTCGGAAGAATTGCTCAAAGTGCCCGCCGTCATGTTGCGCACAAGCACGTAACCTTCGGCGAAACTCAGGCACTGCACTGTTCACACTCTCATGTGACAGTTGCATCCACGCTCCTCGAACGTGTGCCTTGATATGGTCCAGGTCCTTGATCGGTGGCCTGTAGACTTTCTGTATTGTGATTTCCCACATCCTGTAGTCGACTCGATTTAGGTTAGGAGAGTTTGGAGGCCATTCATTTGGTCTGATGAGGTCGGGAACATTCTGTTCAAAGACAGCAATGGTATGGCGCGACCGGTGACTTGGAGCCACGTCTTGTTGAAAGGGGTAAGGCCTGCTGGAAACTCGTTCAATGTCTGGAAGTAGGCCACCAGCAAAAAGGTTATTACAGTAATAATCACTGTTGATCTTCACTCTTGGCCTAACGAAGTGGAGGTTAGTTTTCCCAGTCATGGACACGCCAAAAGATGAGACTGGGACTGGGAAAAGTGCAATCGTGAGGATACGAAACGACGTGGAGAATTGTCTCTATTCTTGTGAGTTGTGGAGCCGTACGGTAAACTCGTTGATGCTGTAGTCATGGACACGCCAAAAGATGAGACTGGGACTGGGAAAAGTGCAATCGTGAGGATACGAAACGACGTGGAGAATTGTCTCTATTCTTGTCAGTTGTGGAGCCGTACGGTAAACTCGTTGATGATGGCGATTCTAAGGCGCACGGACGGTGAACAGTATTTCATCTATGAACCTTGTGATGAGATGAATCGCAGGTGTAGCACGGCGCAAAAGACGCTTAGAACATTGCTTATTTTTTTCCTTTTGAGCTGCAGTTACAATAATCGCTGCACTTTCAGTCGGGTGAACGCTCGGGGTTTAAGATCCTCCTTGATCACGCGGCGAACTGAGGATATTGCAACCCCAATGCGTTGGGACATTACCCTCACTGAAAGATTCGAGCCGGGTGGTTGATCTTCCTGGATGGCAAAGAGTTTATTCAGCTGATCAACGACATCCTGATCTTTGACACTTCGGGGTCTTCCACTCCCTCGACGTCGGTCAGTCTCGCCAGTTTCGTTCAGCTTCGTAAGGACATAGCTCATAGAAGACAACTTGAAATTTGACCTTGGTAACTCTTTTATGATTCGCTTTGCACTGTAGCAATGCTCCCACGAAGGCTCAATCAACGCTTTAACTTCCGCAATGAGCATCACTTTTCACCGATACCAGACCGCAGGTTAATGATGCGTGCACTCAATGGTACAGCAGAAAAATTCTCGATTTCAAAGGCAGAGGCCGCGACTGCTGGCGCAAGTCAAATTTCCGGAGAAGGTTGTCCGCAAGGGGAGAGAAGTGGAGGAAACAGGGGGTTCCCTCTCTGGCTGGCTATGCTCGCGCCAGGTGTGGCCGGCTGCACTGGTCCGTCGCAACCTCACTTAGAATAAGCTACTGCATTTCCAAAACGACTGAATGGATTATACTATAACTTTGCATGCATGTGCTCATTTGGTGTTCATCAACCCTCAAATGCGCAAAGCAATAGTATGCACCAAATATGAGAAAGAAGGAATTGAAAAACGTTCCAGTTTTTGGGACATAGTGTACAAATAGGTCGAACGGTGATGAGATAATATAATTCCACAATTCCAATTTTTTTATAGCGCATTTTCTTCTTACAGGAATGGCATCTCTTTTTCAATTCACAAAAATCACGTAGCCTTCCGTCGTTCCTTGTGGCTTTTCAGAGAGCAAATTTCATCAACACTGAAGCTTTTTTTCTTTTTTTTCGATTATACATTGAAGAAGGTTTAAATTAAGGAAAATAAACTTCGATTTATATTATGCTCTGAAGGAACTTGCTATGCTTTCAACGAAATGTTCCTCAGCTACACAAACTATATTCTATGGCTGTGCATCGGAATGCTGGACAAAAATTATTGAACCAGTAGAAGGGACTGATTGAATTTGCTTATGGCAGAATACGTCAATGGCCCTTAATATCGGGTGAACAGCATCAGAAAATAAAAATATCAAATATTAAGAAGTCTCGCATCATGTCTAACGTTGAATGATCAGAACGGTATAACTGAATCCGAAGATCACCGTGAATAATAGGCGTATTACATTCAGTAATGGTCATGGCCCTTTAATTATCTTCTTCTCCTCTGCACCTTCGCTGGAAGAGGACTTTCTAACATGCAGGGTGTCCCAGAAATGACTAGACATCGAGAGTTTAGCTCATGGGATGCACCGACCTAGGCCTCTGCTATTTGAGCCTAATGCGCAAGGCCACAATACCACGTCCTTGAAGGACCAATGTTCAGACAAATCTGGGAAACTCGCTATTGTCGCGCCTTCGGCGCTCCATTCCCAGGATAGTGATTAATTCAATAATTTATGTTAGAAGTGTCAAAAAAGCATTAAGAATATGTGCCTTTCGGAATGTGTATCGCGGGAGAACAAACCGATATTTTCATCGGAATAATTACTCCAATTGTTCCTTGTTTGCCTAACTTCAAATCTCTTCATAATTGCCCTGAGGGGCATATTTGAGAAGTAAGACATGTACTCAGCAATCGAGCAGGTACTTTTCCTCTAGGTTTAAACTTTTTTTGGTTGTCTTCTTCATTGAATCAGAAAAGTTTCCGAAAAATGCACCTTTTGCAAAAATATGCGCTCAAGGTGTTTACCTAAAAATTAACATTTTTGTTGAAATGAGTACTTGGAGAACTTCGTGCACATCGAGTTTCAGTCTTATCTCTTTGCTCTTTTTGCTGGTACAAAAATATCTTTGGAAAAGCCGACAGCCAAAAGTTGTGCTGTTGCGGTATGCATCACAAAACCTGCATTTTTCTGAACTCATCATCACCTTAGTTATTGCTGTGGCAAGTTTCACAGTTCTATTTCTGTACAATTCAGTGGACAGTTAATTTTTGTAAACGTCACCCCCCAAAAAATATGCCCCACGGGCATGTATCCAAAACTGGACATTTTTCCTGAACTCGGAGTCTCAGTAGGTACGTCCATGTCACGTTTCAGCTTTCCATATTTATCCTTTTGCCTAAAGCAAAAAAAAAATCTCCCTCAGAAATGTATGCCCCCAGGGCATTTACCTCCAAAGACGGAATTTTTATTAATTCAGGTTCCCAATAGGTACTACGTATGAAGTTTCACCTCCCTATCTCTAGCCGATTCGGTAAGTCAAAAAAAATTATTTGAAAAAGGCACCCCCAAAAATTATGCCCACGGGGAACTTGAAATTTTGCATGAAGTTTGTGTCTCAGTAGGCGTGTTCATACCAAGTTTCAGCATTCAATGTCTCTCCGTTTCACTGAAATAAATAGATATCTTTGAAAACATCTCCCCCCAAAATGGTTGCCACCAGGGTATATATCCCCAAAGTCGGATTTTTTCTGAACTCTGCATCCCAAAAAAATATATCTACCAAGTTTCAGATTACTAACTTCTCTAGAACGTGGTTAGAATTAGCGTCAGTCAGCCGGTCACGATCGTCTATATATTTTAGACTATGGAGCATTTCACAATCTAGTTGCTGGATACCCAGAAGTACTCCGATCTTTCATATGATGACGAGTGAAAAAAGTACATAATACTAGCGAGTTTGTTTTCCCTTCGGGCAAACAAACTCGCTATGGTCGCGCCTTCGGCGCTCCATTACCTTGGATATTGATTAATTCATTCATTTTTTTGCGAAATGGGAAATGCATATTTAAAGTACGTCCCCATTGAAATACTTAACATATGGGGACGAAAGCCTTGATTTTCATCAAAAACATTACTTTTTTTTATTTCTAGTTTGCCTTACTTGAAATCTGTTCATGTGTCCCTTTTTGTAAGGGTAGAGAATACATTTTGAAATACTTCCCTCCTATAATCTACGCTAAGGGGACATATTTCAAAAGTAGGATTTTTCCTGTACTCAACAGGTACTTCTGAGGATGAACTTTCGTTTGATAAAGAAAATTTCAGAAAAGTGGGACTGAAGAAAAAGAACACTTATGAGTTTTACCGACATTTTTCTTCTTATGAAATTAAGACTCAGGGAACTCCTTGCCACCCAGTTTGTGTCTTTTACGCTTCCTCTTTTTGCTGACGGAAAAAAATGTATTTGGAAATGCGACCCACCCAAATGCTGTGCTCTGAGGAGACGCACACCAAAAGTTGAATTTTTCCTTAAATCAACATCACGTCCGTTATGCGTGCCCAGCTGCTACTTTTCTATTTCTGCCCGATTCGCTAAGATATGAAACATTATTTGAAAACGTTATGTCCTCAAGAAATATGCTCCCAAAAATATTTTGGAAATTTAACATTTGACATTTGAGCTCAGTGCGTCAGCAGTCACGTTCTTGCCAAGTTTCAGCTTTCCATGTGTCTCCGTTTCATTGAAGCAAAGAGAACTATTTGAAAATATGTTCTCCGAAAGGTGTGCTTCTATGGCATGCATCACCAAAGTAGAACTTTTCCTGAACTCAGCATGCGAATGGCTACTTATGTCAGTCAGTCAGCTACTCACGATCGTCCATATACGGAGGGGTGCTGAAAAGTTCGCGACTTTACCCAGACGCAAGAGAACAAAAGCCGAGCCACGAGGGATGTAGGGAGGGGAGGTCATCGTTAGAGCGCACACGCCGTGAGAGTCCGGTACGACCGTTAATTTGCTTCCTTCAGCAGTTTGAACTCATGATGGCGGCGTCAAGACCGGAATTCAGCAACGTCGACAAGCGCGTGGTCATGAAGTTCTTGTTCCTGCAAGGGAAACGAGCGCAGGAGATTCACTCTGAGATGCCGGCGACTATAGAGGAGGATTGCCCTTCCCTCACAATGGTGAAGAAATCGGTGGCACGTTTCCGAAGCGGCCATTTCGAGGTAACAGAATAGCCACGCTCTGGACGGCCCGTTTCAGCAGCGACAGATGAAAATACGGATGAAATCCATGACCTGATCCTCGAAGACCGCCGCATTTCCGTCAAGAAGATTGTCAAAATCTTGCAGATTTCCCGGAAAGGGTTTCCCACGTCATCCGTAACATCCTCGGCATGCGAAAGCTGTCTCCGAAATGGATTCCGAAATTCCTCGATGCAGACCAGAAGCGGAATCACGTGGTCGCCTCCCAAGCCATTTTGGCGCGGTTCCACGCTGGTGCTGAAGACTTTGTGGTCAAGTTGGTGACCATGGATTAAACGTGGCTCCACCATTATGATCCGCAGACGAAGGAACGATCCAAAGAATGGCGCCATAGCGGCCGAAGAAGTTCCGCGTTCAGAAATCGGCCGGAAAAATCATAGCTTCCGTGTTCTGGGACAAGGACGGTGTCATCTTGATAAAGTACCTGCCGAAGGGCCAGGGGATCAACGCCATCTACTACATGTCCCTATTAGATGAATTGCGGGAAGCTCTGAAGGAAAAATTGCAGGGGAAGCTGAGTCGGGAGGTGCTCTTTCTGCAAGACAACGCGCCTACCCACGCCGCCCACCAAACCACGCAGAAAATCAAGGATTTGGGGTTCGAATTGTTGGACCATCTGGCCTATTCGCCGGACCTCGCCCCCTCAGATTATTATCTCTTCCTAGCGCTGAAGAAACACCTGAAGGGGACGAGATTTGCTTCGATCAGGAGGTCATTGGTGCCGCAGAGATCTGGTTCGCAGACTAACCTAAGGAGTTCTTTTTGCGGGGGTTGCAAAAATTAGAGGAACGTTGCAACAAGTGTGTACAGTTGAGGGGTGACTGTTGAATAAAATTGATTCAGTTTAACAAATTTTGCGTTTTCTTCTAGGAAAAGTCGCGAACTTTTCAGCTTCCCCTCGTATAATGAAGGTAGAATTTATTATTTACGCAGCTATCCATCAAGTACTTATTTGCCAAGTTTTTCATATTTTATGCGCCCTCGTTTTGCTGGATCAGAAAATTCGTGAAAATACGCCTTCTGCAAAATATGTGTCGTGAGCCATTATAACTGAAACGTTCCATTTTTTTTACCGAAATCCATCCCCAGTGAACTACATGCACATAAAGTTTCAATATTATACGTTTGACCTTTTCGCTGGTGAAAAAACATGGTGAAAAAACAAAAAAAAAACATGCCGACCCACCCAAAAGCTATGCCCGGAGGGGATGCACCATGAAAGCTGAATACTCCCTCAGCTCAATAATATGATGTCACTTATACGTGTGCCAAGTTTCACCTTTCCATTTCTGTCCAATTCACCACGACATTTTTTTTTCAAAACATAGCACCTCGAAAAAAATTCCCTTAGGGGATGTATGGAGACTCTACATTTTTATTTAACTCCTTCTCCCAGTTGTCACCTTCCTGCAAAGTTGCAACTTTCCATGTCACTCCGTTTTACTCAAGCAAAAATAGTGTTATGGAGGGGGAATGAGTTATGGGACATGGAAGGCAAAATATTCCTGTTATTGTAATTTTGGGCATTCACAAAGCAAAAACAAAGTCTCTTCATATTGAGGGTGCGCTAAAAATAGGCAACTGGAAGTATTCATGTTTTATTTTGTCTCTCTTCCTCTTCTCAAGGATGAATGTTTTAACCCAGTTCCGTACAATAAAGCATGACAGATTAAATTGCACCGATTTCAAAAGTCGATAAAAAAAAATTAAGACAACAATTTTGGAAATTGAAACTTATATTTTCGGAAACTACAGAGTCTCAGAATTCAAGTACATAACATCTTAGTTCTTCATCTCTCCTGTTCTGATGAATCTGCGGACTTTTCCTTTGATCGACGCCATCATCTTCTGCACAGTCGTTCGATCAATCTTCTCGACGCTGTGGCCACACCTGGCGCGAGCATAGCCAGCCAGAGAGGGAACCCCCTGTTTCCTCCACTTCTCTCCCCTTGCGGACAACCTTCTCTGGAAATTTGACTTGCGCCAGCAGTCGCGGCCTCTGCCTTTGAAGTCGAGAATTTTTCTGCTGTACCATTGAGTGCACGCATCATTGACCTGCGGTCTGGTATCGGTGAAAAGTGATGCTCACTGCGGAAGTTAAAGCGTTGATTGAGCCTTCGTGGGAGCATGGCTACAGTGCAAAGCGAATCATAAAGAAGTTTCCAAGGTCAAATTTCAAGTTGTCTTCTATGAGCTATGTTCTTACAAAGCTGAACGAAACTGGTGAGACTGACCTACGTCGAGGGAGTGGAAGACCCCGAAGTGTCAGAGATCAGGATGTCGTTGATCAGTTGAATAAACTCTTTGCCATCCAGGAAGATCAACCACCCGGCTCGAATCTTTCAGTGAGGGTAATGTCCCAACGCATTGGGGTTGCAATATCCTCAGTTCGCCGCGTGATCAAGGAGGATCTTAAACCCCGAGCGTTCACCCGACTGAAAGTGCAGCGATTATTGTAACTGCAGCTCAAAAGGAAAAAAAGAAGCAATGTTCTAAGCGTCTTTTGCGCCGTGCTACACCTGCGATTCATCTCATCACAAGGTTCATAGATGAAATACTGTTCACCGTCCGTGCGCCTTAGAATCGCCAGCATCAACGAGTTTACCGTACGGCTCCACAACTCACAAGAATAGAGACAATTCTCCACGTCGTTTCGTATCCTCACGATTGCACTTTTCCCAGTCCCAGTCTCATCTTTTGGCGTGTCCATGACTAGGAAAACTAACCTCCACTTCGTTAGGCCAAGAGTGAAGATCAACAGTGATTTTTACTGTAATAACCTTTTTGCTGGTGGCCTACTTCCAGACATTGAACGAGTTTCCAGCAGGCCTTACCCCTTTCAACAAGACGTGGGTCCAAGTCACCGGCCGCGCCATACCATTGCTGTCTTTGAACAGAATGTTCCCGACCTCATCAGACCAAATGAATAGCCTCCAAACTCTCCTAACCTAAATCGAGTCGACTTCAGGATGTGGAGAATCATAATACAGAAAGTCTACAGGCCACCGATCAAGGACCTGGACCATATCAAGGCACACGTTCGAGGAGCGTGGAGGCAACTGTCCCATGAGAGTGTGAACAGTGCAGTGTCTGAGTTTCGCCGAAGGTTACGTGCCTGTACGCAACATGACGGCGGGCACTTTGAGCAATTCTTCCGATTGTGAATCAGAAAATAAAAATGCACTTTTCTTCTTGGACGTCCGAATGACAATTTTTTTTACAACTTTGCATGCATGTGCTCATTTGATGTTTTAGTCACCCTTCAAAAGCGCACAGCGATTGACTGAACGAATTACCAGAAGCTACAAATTGAAAAAAGGGCCCACATTATTTTATTGGGACAAAGTATATTTCATTGAAGCATGAGCCATTGACACCTCCATGATAGAATGATCCATCTGTGGAATGCATACTAGGTTAGACAAAGTTATCCAGAGAGACGACAAAAGTTGCAATGGAATACAGGAAAATATATTGACGACGTGTAGCATTGTTAAATAGCCATCAGACCCTAAAAGGTCCCTTAATCAACTAGTAGTATTCACTCATACATGAAACCATGGATCAATGGGAACGGCAGCGCCTATTACGTACCTTTCTTCTACCTTTGCCAGTAACAAAATTCATCCACCTCGTATTCCTCTCTGAGAGCATCATACGTCGAGGATTGAGTTTTCTTTGGACAAAAAAGGTAGACCTAGGCCTGACCCGAGGACAGTCCGTCGGTTAAGCCTAGACCTAAATTTAGTGAGTCTCGAAGGGAAGAGGGGGGGAGGGGGGTTGAAGTTGTGTACAAGGAAAGCCTTCGAAAAATGGTTTCCATATTTATTATTTATGAGATCGAAGTGGGTCTTAGGTCTTTTGTAGCAAGGGACAATCTAGATTGTGGTTTATATCAAGGTCCTCAAGTCCATAATGTCATTTGATCCTCATGCAATCCTCTTCATTCCTTTTCTGGTAGGCAGTTAAATGTGCAGATGGCGAAAAGGTTTCTTGACATATTGAGGGTACATGAAAATGCCTCAGGGGATGAAATCCGTTGGGGAGCGAAGAAGCGTATCATGGAGGTACTTGAGGCTTACGAGGTGCTGTGCGGCAATAAGAGAAGAAAGAATCATGACAAACACGGAGAGGAGGGATTCCAGAGTAGGGTCACTGGAGGAGGTGGTGGACGAGGATCTGGATTCACATGCCCAAAAGAAACATTTGCGGAAATCTTCGGCCCTAACAATCCCTTTGAAATCTTTAACATGGATAGGCCCGGTCAAAAGGCTTCTGAGAAACCCAGTCACGAGAATGTTGATGACCTTTTGGATTCCTTTGGTTTCCGTGGATCTCGTGTTGGTGACGGGGATTCAATCTCACGTCGTTCATCCTCTATGGGAAGTTCAAGCCAGGGCCAATCCTAGCCAAAAAGTCAAGATCCTCCTATCGAACACGATCTATATGTTACCCTGGAGGAACTCCAAGAAGGCTGTGAGAAGAAGATGATGATCACTCGAAAAATGACAGGGATAGATGGAAAGACGAAGCAGGAATCCAAGCTCCTCATCGTCAACATCAAGCCAGGCTGTAAATCCGGGACAAGGATCACTTTCGAAGGAGAGGGAGATCGAGGTTCACGCGGGAATCCAACAGATGTAGTGTTCATCATTCGGGATGAGCCTCATCCCCTCTTCAAGCGATAGGGGAGTGACATCAGATACACAGCCAAAATCTCCATACAAGAGGTAGGCTTCATCGGATTCTTCTTCCCTGAGCTTGGAAAATTTATTTCAGTCATCATTCGCGAACTCTATTTACTTCTCTGATTGCCACTTGCAATTACTTTAGGAGATCATCAATATTTATCCATTGCCAGGTATGTATGATTGCATTAGCAAAGTCGCAGCTAAAAACTATTGCCAGCATATTAATTCCCTAATATGGAACTGAATCTAAGGACATTTAAGGAAAATTCATTGGGTCAAGATTTGGATTAGCAACTTTACAGGATGACCTTTTGCCATTGAAATATACTTTTTATGGACATTTTCACCAAAAACTGAAGGTTTTGCTAGTTTCGTTTTCAGAAAATACATATTGGGGAAGATTTGGACAAATGATAACATCCGTTTAAAACTGAATTGTTTGATTAATTGGTTTCTTTTAGATATTGATGTTTATACTTTTCAGGTAATCCTCACTTCTGCGCGATTAATCAGGGAAATAATCAATCAGGCCCTTTAATATACAGGTGCAGGAAGTTATAATGTTTTCAATTGCAAAATAGATCTTTCATTTTCTAGCAGTAACGATTTTCGAGATTGACCTTTTCAGATCCATGGCTCAATCCTTGAACCTGGGATCTCCACTTCTTTGGAGATGTTTTTGAGTCATGATCGTATAATCCTTTCATATCTAAATGGCAAATTATGCAAATCAAAATGAGCCAGGATCTCGCACAATATTTGTGGTATTATTATAATTTGTATTATTAAGTTAAAATTGAAGATTTTCAACGATATGACGGTTGGCGGTTGAGTAGGCGCTGTACGGGACACGTGTGGATGTTCCTACTCTCTCGGGCGAGAAGATGCGGATGGATTTCACCGACGTTATTATCAAGCGAAATACGACGAGGAGGATCCCAGGACGAGGATTGCCCATACCGGAGGATCCAAGTCGGAGGGGAGACCTTGTCATCGCCTTCGAAATCGAAGTCTTGAATCACGTCCAGAAGGCGTTTGAGGAAATCGTCAAAGATCCTCCTGCTAAAGAGAATAAGTGACTGAACGAATCCCTGGTGGCTCTCTCTTTTCCACTTGCCTCTTTTTGTGCCTCTCCCCTGTCTGATTTTCATGTTCCCTTTCTCGCCAGCTCAAAAATGGCATCGTTCAGCATATTCATTTAAAGTTGAAAATTGTCTAAATGCCATACCGATACATTCTGTGCCTATTTTCCCTCTTCGAATATTTCTTTTTCATATTATTTTGATAAATTTGCTTCAAATGACGGATGTTGTGAAAACGTATATTATATAATTGGTCAGAAAGTGGACTATTTCATTATTTTCTTTCACAGGGCATAACCATGCAGGTTTATACGATCGACATGTTACTTGGCTTCAAAAACTTTTCCAGGGGGTTGGAATGTTAAAAGGGCTTTGTTCTTACGTGCTACGGAGAATGAGAATTCACTGAGATCCCAGTAGTGCGATTACTTTTGCAACGAGAGGAAAATTTTGTTTTGTCTTTTTTTTTGCTGGAGTTTAGAACTTAAAAAAGCTGAATCCGATCCAATTTGAAGAATAGTAAAACAATGGGTCCACATCCTGTCTATTGGAAGATTATTAAAAAGAAAGAAAAGGAGTGAACACGAGGAACTCAGAGTAACCAGTAGCGATATATTAACAAAGAAGGCAAAGTAGAACCTTCGAATCCTCTATAAATTGCCATCGATCGCAGTGGAAAAGAACGAATCGCCTCGTAATGTCGAGTCGGAACCCAAATCTGTAATACAAACCCTAGGGGTAAACAAAACAAACTGAAACTAATTTTTCTTCCAAGGATCTCTCTAGTCTCTTCAGTATGAACATCGGTAAGGAGTTCCAAAAGCTTGGAATAGGAAGTAATACTTTAAAATAAGGATTGACTGTTTCGATTAGGTATGTTTACAGCATTTGTGAAAGAATTTGAATGCATTGGGGGCTACAATTGGGGAAAAGCAGCTGTTGTGTCAAGTCCTCACGTTTAAATAAATGGTTGAAAACAAACTTTTCAGAATCAGATATGCGACATTAAGAAAGCGTCTGTAGGAGCGGCTCTTGGAGTCATATGCAGGGGAAATTTTTAATTACGCGATGTCATTAAGATTGAGAGATGCCGTTGTCACGTCATTCACGTCCTTTACTGTATTGAAGATCACAGGTGTGACCGCATGATACAGGGGTTCATCGCTAGGTGTCAAGGTGGTGACAAAAGGGTGATAAAGAGGTAATAATTTGTCCACAAATAATTATACACAGGACAAAATTGGGAGATACCGCTTGACATGGGGCACTAGAATAGAGCAGATTCAGACACTGGAAAAGCTTACTAAGAATTAAAAATGAAAACTCCAAGACCGTTCCCCATCCTGCAAAGTGCTAAAGCTCAAGATTTTATAATCCTTCCATGAAATGTCCCTTGAAATGTGGCGCATTTTTCGCGAAATACATGACAGTATTTCATATAGCTTTCACTTGTAACTATATCAGTTATTCGACTTTCCTCGTTCCATTCACATGATTGGATGCCGAGGGAAGTAAATGCTAATGGAGGTGAAGGAGAGTAAAGGAATATGCAACGCAGAGCACAGCGACGATCCGTGAATAACCGTATTCTTGTGTTTTTTGCAAGATCCCGGCTCCCAAACAGTACACCTGTATTTTTTTGTCATCTACCAATGCGACTGCGATACGGGAAGACAAATCCGACCCTTTGAAAAGCTCTCACTCTCGCCGACCTCCTTGCTTTATTCATGCAATAACGCAAGTCCGCATTTAGAACCATAGAAACAATCGAGGAAATTAGAGTGATGGGTTTCAAGGCGAAAGCACGTGTGAGAACGCATGCGGTGACGAGCTGGGGAATCGCCCTGTATTTCCTGGTGGACCCATGCAATTTCTGGATTTACGGCCGCAGGCGGGAGACACTGCATTGAGCGATGGCAGCGTTCCCTTTCGAGGACCACGGCAACTCTCGATTCCAAGTTCATCGGAAAGATGGCGAGACGATAGCTAATCTCCGATTTTCAATGAAAATTGCCTCCCCTCCCTTTCATATGGCCGATTTGCAAATTTCATTTCTCAAAGGCACATCCTCGGATGGTCAGGAAGAGTACTGTCGAAACCCCAAGTTCATATTTCTAACCGCGTGGCCTGTGGAGCTGTCAAGCACACAAACAAGCAAAAAAAGAATGAATTGTCGCTCGGCCTAGCCAGCGGCCCAGAATCGCGCACGCTATACACTCTTTGAAAAGGGAGAGCGATTTTTCTATAAAAAAAAAGAGTAAAATAGCTAACTCCGGTTTCACCCCTCTTTCACTCTGGGAAAGGAGCGAATTTACTTCATCACCAAGAAGTAAAATTGCTCTCCTCCTCCGTGAGTAAAAACGCCCCTCTCAGAAAGTGATGGGGATGTCATGCAAATAAAATTCTCACATGTATTGTGTTTCGCTTTCGCATAGGCGCTGACCTACATGTGACTGTACTGATTACAGTATACGTGATAGGTTGGACCACCTCTTATAGGTTCCGTGGAGAATCCGGGATATCATTCCCTTATTACTTCATTTCATTTGGGCCTGATTGAATGAAGTTCACGGACACTCTTTGTACATTCTAGATAGCCTATACGGATAGAATCATACGCGTTCCAAAAGGGTTCTCAATAGTAATATATGCTTGTTCATGGTCTGGACTCCATGAATATGGCTTGAATATGTGGGTAACAAATGATGAAGTGTCCGTGTTTATTGACTCCTATAATGAGACTAGGCGAGACATATGGCAAGGTACTAAACAATCCTGCGAGGGACGATTCCAGGGAAAGAGGGAAGGGAACTTTTGTATACTGTGCGGAAAGCACCTTACCTCCATCTAGTGGCCTGGCAAAGAACTTCAAGGTGTTCACATCAATACGAGCGATGAGGGAGCATTTGGTGAGTAATAAGAGAGTAAATTCGAAAAGCTCACAGTGTGCTCACTTTTTACTCCCGAAACGCTCGGAATTTTCTCAGAGTGTATGTTTAACTTTCGGACCTCGGGATTGAATAAAAGTTTGAAAGAAGCATACTACTTGGTGCGTAGTATGCTTCTTTCTGTGTAATTGTGCAACTTGGTTGCATCTCGGAGGTCTTCAGTCCAGGTCCACATTGTTCTTCATTCTCGTACTTAGCTCGGAGTTTTTATCTATTTCTAGGGACCTTCCCCTCCATGGACGATCGGTGAGGTGGGAGGGGATGCGCTTGCGAGTCGAATGAGGATTTATCTCTCAGCATAGAGGAATGGAGGCATTTGGAGCTTCTTTCCTGCCTCGAGACTTTCATTATTGTCCCCTGCCAACGTAGGAGAGGGGCAGGGGAAAGAAACCAGAAAAAACTCAGAAATAGGAAGGAGATGAACACCTGACAGAAACAGGAATCGTTGAGAAGACAGAATTTCATAATTTGAAGCCGTCCGGGAAATACCCGACAGATAGCAATCTCAGTCTGCGGTCCGCAGGTTGGGCAGCGCCGGTTTAGACGCTGAGTACCTGCGGAAGATACGAAAGGACACCGACGATGATTACCTACTGTATAGAAAAGCGAATGAATTTCATCGCCCCCAAGATCACCATCTGAACGTCATCGTGCCGGATGGGACCAGGCGCGCAATCGAAAACTGCTTTCGTTAGATCCAACTTTTCCTCATTCCTCGAGAATTTTGGGTTCCATCCGACGGAGATATTTGCAAGTTTCACGATCGCGGGAGTCGATGAGCTTTATAATTGCTTCCCTTTTGGAGGCTCCTCTCAAGACGGCATCATCTACACTGAAAGTACGCTGAAAGGCTGAAGCAGTGAGACGAGAAAACGAGAAAGTGAATACGCGATCGTGTTCATTAAATCATTATTAAAAGTGAGTTTCTTGAATGAAGATTTGTAAAAACCTGCTTGCCGCCCGATAAATCGCAGCAAATTAAGTGCTGTGCGTTAGAAAAGCATCTCATACGCTGGACACATGTTGAAAACTCGTTGAACGTTCTCGAGAGGGTAAAATGCGCTACTTGGGCGATGTCGCGCGCATAAATCCTACAGGTTTTTCGTTGAAACCGTGATTTTCCTCGGCGCCCGATTACGTGGATGGAGCGAGACAAGTGGATACGAATGGAGGATGAGGAAAAGAAAGTAAGATGCAACACAGCACAGCGACGGTTCGCAAATCACCGTATTCTTTTTGCAAGATCCCAGCTCCCAAACAGAACACATGCATTTTTTGGCATCTACCGATGCGGCTGCGATATGGAAAAACAATCAATCCCTTTGAAAAACTCTCACTCTCGTCGACCTCCTTGCTTCGTTCGTGCAATTCATCAAATTTGCATTTACGGCCATGGAAATAAGGAAATTAGGGAGAGGGATTTATTTGCGAAGGCCCGTGTGAGCGCATGTGGCGACGAGCTGAGGAATAGCTCCATATTTCATCATGGACCCTTGAAATGCCTGGAATCACGGCAGCAGGCGGGAGACACGAAAGTGAGCGATGCCTGCGTTCCCTTTCGAGAATCACGGAAACTCTCGTTTCCGAGTTCATCCGGAAGATGGTGAGACAAGAGCTATTATTTGATTTCCAATGAAAATTGCCTCCCCTCCCTTTCTCGTGGCCGATTTGCAAATTTAATTTCAAAAAGGCACATCCTCGGATGGTCAGGAAGACTTCTGTCGAAACCCCAAGTTCATATCTCTTAGTGTTTGGTCACTAGACCTGTCACACACACAAGCAAACAAAAAGAAAACAATTGTCGCTCCGCCTTACTAGGGGCCAGAAACGCTCACCCACTATATTTAACCTCCGAGGTTCTCCGGTTTGAATTATCACAATATTCGCCAGGATTACGAACTGCGATTTTGCTTAGAAGTTCTGAAACTCGCCAGGGGAGAAAATCGGCAGGCAACTCTTCTCCTCGGGCTGGTGGCGCCTCTTCTCCCACACAAGTATGCCTTTCAATATCCAATCTAATTTTGCGCGATTTCGATACGGTGTCAACTGTCAACGATTTCTTGCTCCTCGACTGATCTGAACACACCTTTCGCGCTTTGTGTTCTCGTCAGTACTATAATCAATTCATGTTCTTGTTCGACTGTTCCTATTTCGCACCTTTTCGATACTTGATCATGACGAACGAGAATTCCTTGTGGTATTATTGGGAGCAGAAGAGTGAGGCCTTGTCACCCGATGAGTCGCATTTCTTGAAGTCTCCGACCCAGTCTTGCATC